GTTGAGCCGATGTCTGCATCAAAATAGTAGAGGCCCCCATACTCATGACCACTCCCAATCGTTCTCCTCGTCAATCTGTCCTGGAAGACACAATGAGAAGGAAAAAAAGTTATATTGCAGTTCAAATTTTTTGTAAGCTTTGAAACAGACAAAAGATTTGAGGTAAGACTAGGAACATGTAGGACTGATTTAAGAGAGAGATCATTGCTTAGGTCAACCACCCCCTTTCCAGAAATGGGGGAGAGAGACCCATCAGCCACTCTCATCTTATCCTGGCCAGACAACAAATGATATGAAGAGGATAAGGAGAACATATGTGTCATATGGTCAGTGGCCCCGGAATCAATCACCCAAGAGGTGGAATTAATGGAGCTAGTTGCACTAAATGCAGAGACTGTACCTGATTTGGCAAGAGAGGTGGAAGCTAAAGAATTGTTCTTCAGATGGGTTAATGCCCGGCTAAGAACCTCTACCTCACTAGCTGTGAAGCCCAAAGTACTTGGTCCAGAGGAGCCGGCAGCCTGCCCTGTGGAGGAAGAGGACACTGTCGGAGTACTCTGTGAGTTGTCACTACTGTTGTTGGTGGCAAGATTCCCACTTGTTGTGTGACCCTTATGTTGCCTTTTGTCCTTTCTCAAAGCAGTTGGCTTCAGATGAGGATACAACACCCAACATTTCTCCTTTGTGTGTTTCTCACCACCACAATGGGTACACTTGAGGAACTTCTTGTCTGGATATCTATTTCCCTTAGTGGAGACTAGGGCTGAATGTTCTCCAGATAATCCAATTGACTATGTCTAGGAGTCAACTTACATCTCCCTTCTCCTAACTTCTTCATTCCTCACTAGGTAATAGACATGGTGAAGCTCCGGTAATTCATCTCTCCCTAGAATTTGTGACCTTATACCCTCATACACTGGGTCTAGACCATCCAGAAACTTAAAGGCTTTGCTCTCTTCAATTTGCTTATCATGTCTCTCCTTGTCCCTGGCATTTTCCCAATCCAATATCAAGTGATGATCAAGCTCTTCCCAAAGACCTTCAAGGATTGCAAAATATGTTGCCACGGACATGTCTCCTTGCCTTAAAGCTGCAATATCTTGGTTCAATCTGTAGATTCTAGCATTGTTCTTTTTCTGGCCGTAGGTCTTGGATACTTTCTCCCAAATCTTCACGGTTGTGGGGAAATGATGAACAGTTCTAGGCACCCGAGGAGTCATGGAGGCCAGCAACCAAGACATGACTGTGGCATTCTCCTTGCACCACACGACATGTTCAGGACTGCCAACTTCAGGTTCTTTCTTGTCTCCATCCAGATAGCCGGTGAGATCACGAGAAGTAATGAACAGCCTTGCTGATAGTGAGGACATGCTGACTTCTGTCTTAAAGTAATTCGGGTACAGTGCTGGACAATCTGGAGCAGGCAGCTCCCCTAGGTAATCTTCACTTGAGCTGAAGCAGTTCGGGTACAGCAATGGAGAGAGGTTCCAGACTGAAAACCAACCTGAACTTGGAGCTGTTTGCCACTGTGCTATGCTGGTTTTGCTGGGGCTTCAAAGCTGCAGTTGTGGAGAAGCTCTTCCCCTTTCGGCTAGGGCTAGGACTGCTGAAATCAGTC